TAGAAAAATCTGAACAAAGGCAAGTCAGCTGTGTCTCCTTGGTTGAACACAGACCCAGAGTTCAGTCTCCTGAAAGATTAACTCTGAATTTTGCAAGTAGTAGGATCATCTTGACGGCCTCATGCAGGTCAGCCCCCAGAGAGGTCGTTCCTGCACTTTTAAGTCACTGAAGCAGGATAACAGGCTTTTTCAAGTTTATAGTCAGTGGGTTCCAGACAAATCTAGGATGGGTTCCTCTTTCTTTCTCACCAAAACTTGCTTATGTACACAGAAAACTTTCTTATTTACGAGACAGGAGACAAAAGGCTCAGTCTGGAGGTCAGAGAGTTCAGTGGATGGGCTTCTGCAGCAATCTGGGCAAGAGAAGTGAATTGTGGTTTCCTTCTAATCACATGACCAGTGAGCAAAACATCACCACTACCTTTCCATGTTTGTCAGTGGCCCATGTTTATCTAAACTCCTTCCATCCCTCCTCCCATCCACTAAAACTCTGCTGAGTGAATTGTTCCAAAGCCAGGTATTTATCTTGCCTATCTGAAATTAGGATACAGAGTCAGATAAAATTACATTTGAGGGAAATTGTTTATTTTGGTTAGCTGGACAATAAAGCTTTGGTCTCCCTATAATCATCTTTCTGACAAAAGGACACTTATTACATACTTGCAGATACATCAGTCACTGAAATATCTGTTGAATCCCAACTGCATTTTGAGACATAAATGCTTTTTTTCTGCATAAATATACAGTTGCTTTTTAAATTTTTTTTACCATGTACAATAGATCACATCTGCAAGCAACACTTTTAATAAAATATCTGTCATGAAAAATTATTTTATGAAAGGAGAGGTTTTATTTTCACTGTAGTTAGGAATTGACATGTCAATAAAAAGTTACTTTTCCTTAATTATAATTAATAGACTGCGTGTGCCAGAATAGGTGTCACACCCCAAAAACTGGAATTTGTGGAGAGATATTGGCAAAAATGGAAGTTCCAAAAATTGAAATAGCATTCAAAATGAAAAAATTAATACTTTAAAAATATAAAAGGCCCTTCTGTAGTGCTTACTAGGAAAGGTACTGTACATGCATATACATCCACAAGATAATAAAAGCAAACATTAATGTGTTCAAAAAGAAGATCAATGAGAAAGCCAGTTTTATTTTCAGAAGTAAGGGATTGGATTTATACTGTGGCTGTCATTCTCATCTATACTGTCGACTTTGTTTTGTTATAGCATCACATTATTGCTTTAGATGGCTGTGTAAGGTTGTGATGCTGCAATCTTTCTCCAGTGAGTAGCATCACTGACATTTTATGGGACTGCTCATTTCATGAGACTGCTCTATTTTGCAGCTGCAGAACCTCAGGCTTGATAGCAGATGATTATTTTTTGTCAGTTATCACATGCTCATCACAACAGGATTTCATGCTACGGTGGACAAAAATCTGACAGTTACCAAATAATTAGTTCTAACTTCTCTATGCCCATTAAAAGTAAGAGGGTCAGAAGACCACAATCTAATAAAATATTTTCCCTTCACACCCTTAAAAGATTATGTCAAAAATCTGTTTCAAAAATGCTCATAGTGCTTTTCCAAAACAATGGGGAGTTGTCAGCTCTCTCAAGTGTTTGTTCTGGTGCACTGTCCAATCAAACTCAAAAGTCTCTGAAAACAGCAAAGCCTACAGACAGGCTGTTACACCTTCTTCTCTTATCTGTCACTGCATCTTACTCACCAACTACTCTAAATCCATTTTTCATTGTCTATTCTGGAGTCCTTGAGGTGCCTTACATATACATTATCTAAATTATGTGGTCCTCACAAAAAACAAGTATAACTCCTGTGGATTTTTTGATGCTGCAAGCCCAGAGGAACCCGTCTCTTCCCTCCTCTGCAGTGTCTTCCAGGATTAAGCCTCTCTCAGACTGAGAGACTCATTAATGTAAAACATCATTAGTCTCATCCTATTAATACCTTTCAAGCAGTAGCCATGTTCACTAGCCAAAGCAGGAGAAAAAGGGATTAAAGCCCAATAGTGTGATAAAGTTGGTCTAAATATCACAGGCAACAATTAAGCAGAAAGTTTAGTCTAAATATGCAAAAGTGAAGGGGTGGAAATAATATAATAGGTCTTTTAAAACCATTCTGGAGAAAATATTTTTAAGTTTGGTATTGTGATGGCAAAAGGATGGATTTGATAGTTTTTACAGCTCTTGAATATCTTCTCACTTCTGTGTATTGAACTTACTGATTTATAATTCCATCACACTTGACTGAGTTTCTGCTGAATGGCTCACCAGATGCAACTAGCTTTAGGAAGGAGCTTAGAAATTTTCAGCATGAGCATGGGAGGGCTCTAAAACAGAAAAGGTATCAATATTTGAACCTGGCATTTTACTAGAGTTAGGAGTCATTTACACTGAGGATCAGGTCAGATCACTGAGGTTAGTATTGACTTTATGAAAAACTTTCATGTAACTAGGATGAAATAGTACCAAGTATACCCACACTACTGTGTTTTCTGAGATGTACCAGTAATTTTCCTCTGGGCTGGAATTTTAGAACATCACTGGAACAATCTGGCTACTTCTAGATCAGAAGAGAATAAATTGGATTTTTTCTTCTCTCCAGAGAAGGAATGATGGCCAAAGCATTGATGTGATTCCAGATCCTGTTCTGCAAGCCCAATTGCATCAAGTACTCCTAAATTTTTATCTTATATTGCAGTGCAGGATATTGGGATAAGAGGGACATTGAAACCACAATAAAAAATAAAATCAGCTAAGAAGTTTCAATTTTGACCTAAAACTGACTTGGTCTGTTGTTAGGATGTTAATACAACTCCTAATCACTCCCATGTTAATTTGGTGCCAGGTTTATATGGTTATATGGGGACAACTAGTGAATCTTAATACTCATTGAAAATGTGGGACAGCAAGTGCTGTATTTCTCATTATTTTTTAATTGCATTTCTCACTCTTTTTTAATTGCATTTCTCACTTAAGGCTGGAACAAACCAATTGCAATTTAAATACTATCATTAAAGTAAAAATTTTCTGGTGTTTTATAAAGACACTGCAGCTACTGAACAGCTGACCCATGATTTTAAAGTGTATCAATTATAATTCTTAAATCTAAGACAATTTAAACATTTCTCTAAACATGAAGGTCCATTCTGGTATCCATGTGGGTTTTCTATCCACAGCTAGCTGAACTTTCTTGCTTTCCTACTACCAGTCATAGTAATCATAATTCCCCTAGTTTATACATTCATAAACACTTATTTTAGTGAACACTAAAATATCTGACATTACTAAATTACGTTGATAAGTGTATTTTCTTATAGGAGATCTTTTAGATATTTCTCTAAAATTTAAACCAGAAATATAAATGGGTAAGAGTATGATATAAAAAATAGTATAAAGTATCTGAAATCATAACATCTGAGCAGGTAAAAGAGAAAGAGTGCTGGAGAATGAAAGAGAATGGCAGTCATTTGTATATAAAATGATTTATATATACATGCACATACACACCTCCATATATCCATACTTTTTTAAATACATAGACACCAAATGGGTACATTTTCATTACATGAACCTTACCATGGGGCTCTCCCCTATACTTCAAATACAGAGCAAGATCTATGTAATCACTTCTCAAACTTTGCACCTATTGTCTTCTTCTTTTAGTGGATGTCCAATAAGCCTTGACTGACAGCCTTTCACTTTTGTTGCCTTTGTAACACTTCTAACATTATTTCACAAAGAATTGAGCCATTTCCTTTCCTCACTGCTATGCCTCTCCTGCTATCCCTGCTTGTGCATCTAACAGAACACAGGATTCTTCCTCTCTTTCTGGCCCTAGGCTTTTCTTTAAAAGAAAAAGCCAACAAACATGCCAAGTTGTATAAAAAAGTGGGATGTCAGTGCTCTGGTGAAATAATGACATTCCATGTCTGCAACCCCAATTTTTGAGGCAGTGTACAAGTTGGAAAACCACCAGTGGCAAGAGCAGTTGCCATTTTGAATTTCACTCTGACTCTCCCAGGAACACTGTAAAAGAGACTATCAAGCTTTTAATTTCTGTTTACAAATGCAGGTAGACAGTGGTCTATGTTGGAATGATACAAAGTATGCCAAATCAATTACTATGTTAAATTTGGGGCTGCACTTCTTTTATCTATATAATGAAGGCTATAAACCCACCAGATATCTCTTTAAAAATACGTTACAAATAAAACCAGGAAAGTTAGCAAATAACTGAAGGAAAAATTTAGCCTTTTATCAGTTTGGAAAGTTTTGCATTACAAGTGTTTAATTAAAAGTGTACATCAAGCATATGTTTTGCGAAATAGATTCCTGATTATGAAGTGTTTAAAAATCAGTCTTCAATTTATCAGTATTCAGCTGCTTTTTTACTAAGGAACAGACATCAGAAAATAATAGGAAATTAAGCTTCTCCATTACTTGAAATACAAAGAACTTTCTTATATTATTGTGTGGATGAACACTCCCCACAACTTCAGATTATCTGGTATTTAGTTTGTTTCATCAGACTGAGGATGATAATACCATATTTTAAATTAATTTGTTTTATGCCTTTTTTCATGTGTGCAGCAAACCAGTTGTGCATATTTATATAGGTAAAGTCCAGTGTGGCACATAATTCTGCCCTGGCATATTAATATATTCAGTCTCTGTGCCTGAATTTTACAACTAAAATTAAAATTCTAAATTCAAAATTACTTCTAAATTTAGTTACAAATCTGTATACAATTCTAAAAATAGAATGTTAATATTAAAAAGAAAATGTAATTATGGGTCTGTAGATTAATTAGAGGGTAATCCCATTATTTGTTTAGTAGGTCACTTACGATTAAAAGATATCAAAATGTTCCATAAAAATAATTCATACAAATAGAGTAAGTTTTATTATTCTTACAGGAAGTTTGTGGTGGCAATAACTTCCAATTATGTTCCTTTTGGTTTGTTCAGGTGCTGAAATTCTGTTCTCATTGACCATGGAGTTTTATTTATGTGGTGGGATGAATATCAACATTTAAAACCAAACAAGCGAGCAAGGAAAAGCCAACAATAGGTAATTATTTTACCTTGATTAATGTATCATTTCAACATATAATTAGATCATGGAATATTTATTTATTCATGTCACCCCTGCAATAAGTGAATATATATAATTCTTTTCATCTTAAGATTTGGCCAGGTAACATAAAGGTTTTTTTTCTGGATAAAATTGATGAAATTCTTTGCATAGAACTAGTCACAAGGGGTGGGGGTCTGCTTTGGTTTGTTTTTTCTTTCTTTTTTTTTTGTATATCAACAGGATTTTCTGAATAATGATCAAGAAAATGTGTGACTTCTAACATGCAAGATTACAGTGCAGTATATGGGAGTATTCACTCTTCCTGTTGTTATGAAAGCTGATATTCTGGGAAATAATTTCCTTCCCTCTGATATCTTTAAATATTTTGTGCACATAAAATGGCTTTGGAGAGGAAAATATTACAGTGTGCAAAAAATGCACCTTCAGAATGGTATAGTACACTTAAATCCCAGATGAAGATTTTGGACTGACCAGTAACTTAGCCTGTATTCAGTTAATTATTTATAAGGACTATTATTTATTAAATCCTAAATACGTGTTCCAAAAGTGTACACATTAATTTGATTTTTCATCTTTTCAATATAAACTTGCCTGCAGACTTTCCAGTTTACAGACGGCACTTTTGTCCAGTTCAGAACACAAATTGTAAAGTTAATTTTCCAGAAGAAAGGGAGACTTTCTTTGTTTCTTTCCTTCTTACCTGGGAAAGTCATCTCACCTTTGAGAAGGACCATGGTGTACTGGAAGTGTTAGAGCAACCCTGTAAGCACCATCTTTAACTGGTGCAGTTTTCCTGGTTTACATGCCTGATTATTTTCATCCTTTGAATTAAGATGATTCCTAGTGTTGGCCATGTGACAGCAAGCTTAGTGCTATATTTTAAGGAAGGGTGCTCAATTTCACCTAAAAAACTCTAAAATAACATCACATTATTCTAAGGGAGAGGAAGATGAAAGAAGGTGGTTGTTCAATGATTTAAACAAGTGCCCTGTGCTCATTTTGGAAAAAGACAGGGGCTCCCTGCACCCATTTCTGCTCCAATTTAATGAAGTTGTTAAAGTAGCAAGACTGACAGGTTAATTATCCTTTATAAAAGGGGGACAAATTGAACTGTGTCTTTCCATCATTTTTTGATATATCAAGAAGCTCCTGAGGTGCTCAGGTGCCACTCTGGTGAATAGAACAACTAATCCACTCTGCTATTCTTTGCTGACCCTGGTCCCCCCATCGGGGCCTTGCAGTATATTGCAGTTGCTTTTTGTTTCACATTCAACAGATTCCACTTTATTATAAATTCAGAAGGATTTTTTTTCCTCCATATGTTGGCTGACAGCTCCCCTGAAATAACTGATGGCTAAATTTAAACTCTGATGAAAATTAACCCGAGTGTTAAATGCAAACAGGAGCTGCTTGGAAAGAAAAGAGTTATCATGGTAAATGCCAAACAGTGGAAAATGTGTGTAAATTAATGGAGTCTCACTGGTGACAAGCTGTCAGGCAGTTTGATGGCTCTCGCTAGTGCTTCAATCCCACTGAAGTTGGCCAGAGGGCAACATGGACAAGTCCTGCTTTTCAAAAAGACCGCGGGATGCTTGACAGTAACGCTAACTAGATCATCTAAAGTTCATGGTCAAATAAGATATTTTTTTTTTCCTTTTTGCAAAGCTTTGCACTAAACAGAGTTTCTGCACAGCTGGGCTATGAATGAGATATCAAATCACAGTTTCTGTACAGCGGTCAAAACAGAATGACGATTTTTAGAGACCAGAGTTGCGGTGAAAGGAATTCAGAGAAATTTAATTTCAAATAGATATTCATATTGTTTTGTTGCTATATCTGCTGAACACAGAGTAATGCTTGAGGGGTTTCTGGATGAAATCTTGTATTTCTACATGTATTTTAAATGGTTTTTAAAATTCATTTTAATTTTAGTCTTTTATTGAATCCTTCAATTGAATCATCCCTCATCTCCAAAGAAAGACTTGATATATATGGTAAGATACACCTTATCTCTTATTCTTTATTCTTCTCTGTTATTTTATTTTTCAGCATTACTATGCTGTACATTTGGGAAATTAATTAGTGGTCTGTTGCTTTCAGGTCTTGTTATTTGCTTCTATGGAAGCAATGCCAAATCCTTACAGTGTCTAAATAGTCTCTTATAGTACGTTCCAGCAACATTTTAACATGAGATAAATTAATTTAGTGGAAATTAAATTGAAACCACTGTAATGTATCTGAGCTTGTACTAAGCTCTACAGACATGAAGGAGTCTGTTTCTAGCTGTGCTTTTGTCAAAAGTGGGAAAGCACAATCTTGCTTAAAGGAGCATTTTTAATATCCTAAAATTAATATTGTGAAGATATAGTCTTAGCAAAGCTGTCACCTATAGTTAGCAAAGCTGTCACATAAATAAGCTGTATAGTGGGCATAAAGTGTAAAATAAAATAAAAAGTTACTCTAGTGGATAATTCACAATTGCCACTATTTACATGAGATTAAAATAACAATATGCCTTATGGAAATACCTGTCCATATTGGTCAGGAGAATTTCTCCTAAGCTAATGTTCAAAAGCACCACTTTTAAAATCTTAGCAATTGCCACACAAGGTACAGAGCAATTATATTTGAATAATACCTTGGAGAGGACAAAGGACAAAGTGCAGATCTACTCTCCATGATCCATCTGACTCAAGTGACCTCACTATTTCACCTCCTGTGACTGATGTCACCCATCCATTCTCTCTTTTTCAGTATTTCAGTGCTGTTATCAGTTCAGACAGCACCAGGTTCTCAAAGTTCTCCTTTCCCCTCTGCAGACCATTGGCTTCTCTGTGAAAATGATCTCTGACGGGGGAGACAAAATTATGTCCAAAGTCAGTAACCTTTTTCCTCTGTAGGAAAGCATCTCGGTCTTGACTCTTGATGTACTATGTCTCTGGACAGGTAGATGAATTCAGTGTGCATACCTTGATACACAAATTTTGCGTCTAACACTGGGAATTCTTAGTTGCTTTAGGTGACAACCAATTAATTGTCTTGTAAATTAAGATGCTTGTCTTCCATTATATTTACCTTTCTTTGAGCCCCATGTATGAGGAAGGGTGATAACTGATCTCTCCTTACAACGAGGTATTAAAACACGGTTTAATGATTAGCATACAAGTGATTCAATCAAAGTCTGTGGGGTTTCTCATATAGCAAAGTTAGCTCACTCTTTGCTAGATGGTACGTACATTGTGGTGTGCAGTTAGAGAAGAAAAGTGTTCAAATAGTCTGAATTCTCTGCTCCGGTTACTTGTGTAGGCAGATGAGGAGTACACAGTAATCTTGTGTAGGTAAGTCAATACCACACTGCATTAATCAGTGCTCTGTATCACAAGCTCCTTAAAAACAGCTCAAAATAAATAATTAAAATAGAAATGAACATGCAATCTCTGCCTTAAATAAAAATATAAATGTCACAAAACTCAGAACTAACATAGCATTAGTTACTATTTAGATTTCTCTCATGCGCCTGCAGTATATTCACTCTTGCCTAAATGGGAAAAATTTTCTTCTCTGTAGCTGGAAGCAGAACATATTCTTATAGCTGCTATTTAATAACTAAGTATTTAAGGACTTTTTCTCTGTTTTTCACAAATACCCTGTGACAGATAACACTATGTGGTGCTGCTTTACTCTTTCATCATTCGATTACAAAATTTAAATTATTATATAGAACATAACACTCTGTTCATGTTCATAACTGTGAGCCCTTTAACAAGTACTCTTTTTTTCTGTGACCTATACAATTTAAACTGTGGACTTCATCAATTTCAAGAAGTCTTTTGATTGCACACTACTATATCAGAGCCTGGAGTAATACTTATTTCGTTTAAGAGAATGGCCTTTTTTATTTCTACTTCACTGACTAGGGGATTTCATCTGCAAAGTTTCCTAGTGTATAAAGGCCAGAACTTCCAGCTAGACCTCACAGGACACATGTGGCTACAACAACACAGTGTTTACTCTCCTGGTGTGCTTTCACCAGTCTTCATATACCACTGGGAAGGCTGAGAATAGCCTTACCCACCTCTGAATACGCAACAGTCTAACAAAGAGGGTAGTCATATGTGATGCATTCTTCCAGTTTCCTCCCAGGGGGCTGTAGCCATGGATGTATGATGTACTTCTTTTCTTGTGCATCCCAAAGTGCTGACATGAATAAACACTGTCATTTGTGCATTTCGGCTGCATCTATGGTTTGCAGACTCTTCTCTGAAGGTGGGGCTTATTGACAAAATAAATTATGTTTAGGAATTGTTATGCTATTCTGATCTTTGAAGGTTTGGGTGATATTCAAGTCCAATAATTTGCTAACAAGAATTCTTGCCAACTGGAGTTGAGCCCAGGCTCAAGCAGGAGTGACTGCTGCTGCTAAGAAACACCAGAAGATACACGATCAGCCCATTCTCTTTTCTAGTTTTATGACATGTGCTCCTGCTCCATAATGGTGGGGCTGCTGGACTTCTCCCTTTGAGGTTTTGGCTACACATAGTGTCAGAGAAACTGAACCTTGGCTTTTCTTGAAGGAGAACTACCTTTTTAGAGCCTGTAGTTTCTACTGAAACTCCAAGGAGACAGAAAAAGAGCCTAGATCTCTGAATCAGTTCCTCTTTTCCTCTCTCTCTTCAAGACAAAAGGCTCTTTGTATGGTAAACAGCATGTTTAGCACTGCCTTTGTCATATGTTGTCATATATCCATGGAGTGGACATGGAGGAGAGGGACTGCAATAAACATTATTTGAAATCAATTGTCAACAGATGTGTGATTCAAGAGAAGGACCATTTTTTATTTCACAGGTAGCATGCTTTATCTAAGACTCTGCCAGGATAGTTTGTTTCCTGATGTAAACACAGATCTGTGAAATCAGAAGGTAAAATGATGAGCAGGGCTGGATGAACTGGAAGAGACAGCTCAGGGCTGGGTG